GCCACAATCCCTTCTCCTCCATTCTCCTCTCAGGATCTTGGGTATGCATGCACACGCGCCCAGCGTGAGTTTTAAGCCACCGGGTCCGGGACTGAAACTGCATAGGAGTCCAGCGACATAGCCATTATACTAACTCCTGGTTCCCATCCCTGGCATAATTTTCATGTCACCAGGTCAGGACTCAAGCTGCAACTGGCCATGTGGGTGTCCAGTGGCTTAACCACCACACTACCTGCTGGCCCCACTCAGGTATTAATTTAAATGTCATCTACTCAGGGAAGTCTCACTGTCCAATCAGACTGCATCCCCCCGTCGCTTTCAATCATGCCTTCACAACCCTTTCACCAAATAGCTATTGATAAATGATTATTTATTAATTTATTAATAAATGAGGCTCCAAAGGCTGTCTTGTTGTTCTGTGCCAGCCAGACTCTTGGCCCCACTTCTTCCTCCCAGCGAATCAAAAAGGAGTTGTGGGGCGAGGGGGTTACGTGCCCGAGGCTGTGGGTGTGCTACTGAGCAGCTGACCAGCTGACCAGCCAAGTGGAGCACGTCCCTCTCTGCACATCAGAATCACCTGGGGAGATTTTAAACTAGCCGGTGCTCGTGGATGTTTTAGGCCTCATACCAGACCGATTAAACCAGAGTCTCCGGTGGAGGACCTGAGGATCAGTGTTTTCTTAGCGCTCCCCACGTGACTATAATGCGGCGCCAGGGCTCAACACTGAACAGCCTGCCTGGGGGTGTGGACTGGAGCTGTGTGCCCCATCGCACCAAGGCAGGCTGGGACTCAGCTTCATCGATGCCCACCCCACCGCCCCAACTCTTGGGGCACTCACTGGGAGCACAAAGCTTGGTGCATTTGTCACAGCCTCCTTCAGCCCACACCTCCAGGAGGTTCTGTGCCTGCTGCTCTCAGGCTCAGAACTTGTGATTAGGAAGTCATGGTTTCTTTTCCTCCTTGGAGAGGATCAGCGTCAGAGCTTTCCTTACATTGACCGTGATGCGGGAGAACAAGGGAGCTGGCTGGCCTGCCTGCGTGGGACTGCAGTAGGAAGGCACAGAGGGCCAAGCAGGCCAGCCTGGTTGAGGCAGCTGGATCCTATATGG